GTCTCGCACATGTTATCGGTCCCCGTGTCACTTCACGCATGTGCTTTAGTGACAAAGTGTAGCTGGGAGAGCAGACAGACCCATCTGAGGGTCCTCCTGGTGACAGATCTGGTAATGTGTGACTCCCTGACGCTGATCAGTCATGTAGTGTTCGAACCACAACGACTCCAAGATTCCCGATTACAAGACTGATGATGTTAAACGTCATGTAGTGTTTCTGTGGCTCAAGACATCAGTCAGTCCATGAGATAACAGTGCTGGCGTTTAAACTGCAGGAGAGTTGATTAAAACCAGGATCACAGCTCTGCTCGACTCATCAACACTGAAGCTCAGCCCGCTGGGTCACTCAGCCATCTTAAACCTTCACTCTCTAGTCCTCATTCTGCAGTGGTTTGACTTGATTTCCACATTATTGTCTGATTTTCAGTATTTTAGTTATTTTATTTTTTCCCATTTATTTATTTGCTTATTTATTATTATTCATATTCTTATTCCTGTTTTAATTATGATTATTTTACTAGTTAATTTCAATCATTTCAATTAATTTTAGTTTCCTTTTTTGATCTTATCCTCCGTTTGCTTATCTTCTTTTGATTTGATTAACTTTTACATATTTGTTAAACTTATTTATTGTTTGTTTTGTGTATTTCTGTTATTAATGTTTCATTTTTTTAATCCTTACCTGATCTGAGTGATTTTTATTATTAAATGTACTTTTATTATTTGATATGCTTTTACACATTATCAGTCCCTTTTTCCTGTATCAACTCGGCAACGATGTAAATGAGGGTCACCCTCAGTGTCCTCCGAGGTCAAATAAAGGTTGATTGATTGATATCCAGCATCCTAAGTGAGGAGCGTAGTGTGTTCAGATTGATTTGTTTCTCAAATCAGATCTTTTGAGTCGACTGTCCACTCTGTCATTTGCGAGTGATCAGATCTGATTTGAGTGTCCAGACATCACCAGTCTATCTGCATAGGTTGCTGTGGTAACAACGTAGGCGTCAGTAATGACGTAGCTGTTCAATTCAGTTTAAACCCAATACTCACACTCTTCAGCCGCCGTTCGATCCTCGGTTTCTCGGCCGCAAATGAAGGAGACTTTGAATTGGGGCAGCCTAGTCGCACCGCTGTGACGCAGTCGGCCTTCAAATGCAGCCTCTGAAGGACGCAGCCCCAGAATTGGGACGCAGCAATAGATCATCTCATTTTTCAGCAGATGATGTCACCATGGCAGCGTTCAGCTGTGTGCCGCCATTGGTTGCACAAAAAAAACGCAAAGATGTTTTTCTTTCAAAGTCAACGTGTAAACAGAGCGTTAGCCTGCTCCACTGCTTCTCCTAACCATTAGCTAAGCTGTGCTAGTGTAGGCCAGCAGGTAGACGTTGTTTACAGTGTTAAAGAAAAGTGCAGTAATGTGAGAACAACCTTCATCCACTCATCCCTGACAGGATGGTTATATGCAGTTAGAGTCATGGAATTAATGCAAAAATCTGAATCTGAATATTATTATGGTCTGTATGACACCAACTGAAACTGAATTCTGAACAGAAATTGAATTTTAAGATTTGCAGGTGAGCAGTATATCACCTGAAAAAGAATTTTAGAGCTGATTATGTATAATTAACTGTCTGAGTTCTAAGAAGCGTTGAGTTTTTTATTTGTTTACATGTTCAGATTCACTTTCAAAATAACATCCAGCTTTCAAGTGAAAGCAGTCAACCCCCCAGTCCCCCCCCAGCTTGTATCTTCTACCTTGTACCTACACTCACTGGCCATTTTATCAGAAACACCTACTGTACTAGCACACTTGCAGTTGCTGACTGTAGCCTGTTTGTTGCTGCAGTTTATCAACATTCAAAAATATTAGGTCAAATTTTTGCATTTAAATTCAAATTTGTAACAAACTCCATGTAATAAGCCTGAGCTGAGGTTGTTATTCTAAGTAGCCAGTTAAATGTGAGGTTTATGTGTGTTGTGTTCAATAGCAAAAAATATTTTTTTCTCTCTAATTTTGGTAACGGCGTATACTTTTCTAACAATTTCAATTTAATGAAGTTGTCTAGTCGGTGATTCACTCCCTGAAAATAATAATATCCAAATAATAATAATAAGAGTAATAATAATTCTAGTATTGGTTTTGTTAGCCCAGAGGAAGCTGAACTCTCTGAGGAAATCTGATCTCACGGATTCGCAGCAGTTACCACGCTGATGTGTCAGTTTTCCTGCAGCGCTGCAGCCCCTTATTTACTCACACTGCACAGGAATGTTTATTTGAAACACAAGAGGAGGAAGTAGAAGGTAGACTCGTGTCAGCGGACTGTATTAATGGGGAAAACAGAGGGGGAGGGGGAGGGCAGGGGGGCGGGGGGTTTGGAGTCGGATGCCAGCTCTGTGGGAGGTGAGTTGGGGAAATGCTGGCTAATAAAAATGAGAGAAGCCTGTCGATTTGTCATTTTTTTCTCATTTAGCTCTCTCTCTCTCTCTCTCTCTCTCTCTCTCTCTCTCACTCTCTGAGACCACCATTCTTTTCTAATTTAATACAGTTGTTTTAATTGCAAGTTCTATTATCTGTATAACACTTTAAATGAAAAGTAGAACCTTTTTGAAATTTGAACATGAATTTCAGAATTTCTTAGTATTTGGTGGTGTTTCCCCCTATCGCTTTAATGGCAGAGTGCACTCGAGCCGCATGAACTCCACAGGTTTCTATAAAAGCCTCAGATCAGCAGCTCAAACCCACCTGAGAGTCGTCTGAACACGAGCTTCACAGTGAGAGATCAGACTAAACACACTCTGAGCTTTTAGTATAAAGGCCTTAATGTGGTCAGTGCCACAGATTTGCTTTCGTTTGAATAGGGACTCAGAAAAAGTGCAGAATCTTCAACATTTGGTCTTTGTTTTGGTTGAATAAATTGAATTGAATTTATTTTTCCCCGAAGGGCAGTTCATAACGGGGCATATAAACATGTGATATAAACATGTGACGTTTACAGACAGTCAGTAACAAACATCTTCATGAATAAGATAAATAAATAAGATACATAGTTATCTCACAGCTCACCGACGTTCATGCTTTTCTCTGTGATACACTTCAAAGGCCGTGTTCAGACCGTCAGCCCAAATATGACTGTTGTCCTCAGACTTTTTATAGTCTGAACAGGAAAAAAAAACAAAATCAGATTTTTCAAATCGGATCCAAACCACATCTGGAGGTGGTTTGAAATGCGACTCCAATCAGATTTAACCCTTGGCGACTCTCATGGGGGCTCGGACTCTGTAAAGCTGCTGTGTGTTAATGCCTGTTAAATAAATAAACTTTGACTTGTCTTTGATCATTAATGATCACTGATCAACCCGACGGCCTCAGGCACACATAACACTCTGTTTCAGTCATATTTTCTTAACTTTTCTTTGTTTTAAACGTTTCAAAATTCTAAAACCTTACTGTAGTTTATCTCCAGGTTTAAAAAAATGACATATTTTCAATGTGGTCTCAGACTTTTGGACTCCGCTGTACTTGATTACTCACTATCCAGTACTGGAACAGATCATTGCTGTTGCAGCAGAACCTCATTTCCCTGAAGTGCTGACTTTATATGAGACTTTATTTTTAAAGGGCCCATATCCAACACTTATCTTGTATTCTTATGCATTTTTAAGTACCAAAAAGAGTCTTAGTTAATTTCTACATTTTGACCATTTTTCAACCTCACCGAATAAACAGGCTGTTTTTGTTACTGTGGCTTAAAGACTGATATATGTAAATGAGCTCTATTCTGATTGGCTGGGCCTCATTCAAAAATAGTTCAGGGTGAAACACTCCGTATAACTTCAGTGTGAGTGGGCGGGGCTAAACTGAACTGCTGTAGGCAGAGTGGGTGAATATATGTAAATGCATTTGTTTTTGTGACATCACAGAAACACTGAGTTCAAAACAGGCAGCATAGTTTCCAAATATATGCTTTAAAATTGTTTACATGCTATATTTAAACTCGTACTTTAAAGAAAAACAAGGAATTTTCACTTTTTCCATCATATCTTGTTTCTTCTTCTTCTTTAAAATCATTTTGGCCTGTTTTTGTTGCGTTTTTAAGTACCAAAAAGTCATAGCTCATTACTGCGCATCCATTTTCCAAACTCACTTTATCCCTTAGAATTAGACTGATTTGGTTACTGTGCCTTTAAGACTGATATATGTAAATGAGCTCTGTGCCAATTGGCTGGGCCTCATTCAGAAAGCAGTCCAGGGTGAAACACTCTGTATAACTTCAGTGTAAGTGGGCGGGGCTAAACTGAACTGCTGTAGGCAGAATGGGTTAATATATATAAATGCATTTGTTCATTTTTGAGTTCAAAACAGGCAGCATAGTTTCCAAATATGGGCTTTGAAAGTGTTTTTCCTCATTTATTTAAACTATTTGTCCATCATTTCTTGTTTCTTCTTCTTCTTTTGATTCATCGTGGCCTGTTTCTGTTGCTCCGTTCGTCACGAAATGCTCACGTGACGTAAAAGGCTGCTGTCCTTCTGCTGCACAAACAAAAAAATGCTTTCACGTCTCTGTCCTGCACAAACTCTGTGCACTCTGTGTTCCTGCTCTCTGAGTTCAATGCCCTGAGGAGCTTTGTCGTCGGTGAGACATCAGACGATAGAATGAAGATGTTGGTCCCTTAAAACCACTAAACCACAGCCCCCCCCCAAAAAAATCCCCCAAATAAACCCACCCTCACTGAATATATTAGATTCGCAGTCATAGCCAGACTTGGCTGCGCTTCCTCGTCTGAGAAGTTAATTTAGCTGGCGCTGGGATAGAGAGAAGGAGCCGCTTTGTCTTTCTGCTCTTTCTGTCTGTTTTTTTCGAGCCACTTTAGAAGATGCAGTTAACTTTGAGTCTTAAAGATAATGTAATGTAGTGTTTATGCTCTGCCGCTATATTTGTTGTGAATAATCTCTTTCTCTCTCTCTCTTCTCTTCTCTCTCTCTCCTCTCTCGTCCATAGGCCTGTGCACACCGCTGGAAAAACGTCTACTATGAGTCGGAGCACATCCTCCCCCACGGGTACTGCTCTGTGATCCCTCCCACGTTACAGGGCAGCACGCGGGCACTCATTCCGTGTTACGAGGGTATTTTAAGCTTTTCCCAATTTATTTCTTAATACTATTTTGCGTCATAACAGCAAGCAAACGTTCAAAAGCAGCATCACATGACTTGTGTGCATCAAAATATAAACATAAGGCATTTCTTTTATTTGTAACCTTAGTCTTTTGTTTTTTTTTTTTTATTACAAGTCATCTGAGACACAAGATAATCCTTATTTATCCCCTAAAAGTCTGAGACCACCAGTGAAAATGCATTTCTTTGTAATTTAGTTGAATGTTTTGAATTATAAATTATACACCGATCAGGCATAACATTATGACCACCTCCTTGCACTTTGTGCACTTTGTAGTTCTACAGTTACAGACTGTAGTCCATCTGTTTCTCTGCATACTTTGTTAGCCCCCTTTTACCCTGTTCATCAGTGGTCAGGACCCCCATGGACCCCCATACAAAGTGCACCTATATAGTAAGTGGAGCTGATAAAATGGACAATGAGCATAGAAACAAGGAGGTGGTCAGAATGTTATGCCTGATCAGTGTATATTAGGATAACAGTTTGAGTCAAAAGTATATCTAAATAGAAGAATTTCAGGATTTCTTAGTATTTGGTGGTGTCTCCCCTTTGACTTTAATAACAGTGTGCTATCATTTGACTCCTCAAGTTTGTGCAAAAGCCTCTGATCAGCAGTTGAGATTCTCCTGAGAGGCGTCTGAATGTGAGCTTCAGGGTGAGAGAGGAGAGTCAAGGCAGTCTGACCTTTTTGTACCAAAACGTTAAATGTAGTTGTGTTATAACTGAAGTTGGGGGGAGGAGCATGACTGAAACCCCTCCTTCTTCCAATCTAACATCCTATAAATTCACATAAATTCACGAAGTGTTTGCAGTCCCCTCCGCCTCCCCATCTCCTCACCGTTCCTCAGTCCTGCATCAGTCCTACTACAGCTGTGAAGGGGGATCTGGCCTTCTAGCTACAGGCAGAAGCTGCCCAGAACTCCAGCCCAAGTTCTCAGAGTTCTCCCCCTCCCTCAATCAGTCTTCCCTCATACTACCACCACATGTTGAAGGCATGGTCTGAATTTATAAACATGTCACAAATTTGCTTAAATTTAAATAGTCACCTAGAAATAGTGCAGAATCATCAATATTTCTTCTTCATTTTACTTCTTATAACTTTCCTTTGTTTTCAGTTGTTGTTTGAATGAAAACATCCTGGATTTTCAGTGTGCTCTCAGACTTTTGGAACCCACTGTATGTGGAAATAACCGGTTTGTTTGGGTGTAAAGATCCTCCTTTTCTCCTCTTCCTGCATGATTTTCTGCTAATCCATTATGAGTTTGAGTGGCATCTACCACATTACGCTCTGCTGCTCACAACAGGTGTAAACAGCTTCACAGATAATAATAACATTTCCGTTTTGTCGCTGTCGTTTACTCATGTGTGAGGTTTTTTGTTTGAAGACAAAAATTATGACTCTCCTTTTGATATTATGCGTCACTAGGCCCAGAGTAAAATGCCATGTATAAAAAATTCAATACATAAGCTAAATGTCCTGTTTTAAGTTTGATCATTGGGCTACAAACATTATGACTGCACAGATTCACTCCAGACACTACATTTCCCATCATGCCTTGGCATTGTTCCTTTGAACACTTTCTGTTTCTGTAGTCAGACTGTAAGGCAGCTGTGCTCAGTACAGCAGTGTGTAAACAGCAAATACAAACGTTTATGTATCTGTACCAAGTTTACCAGCGTGCCAGCGGAGCAGCAAGCATTATGCTAATTTTAAGGCTAACCACTTATAGCCTACCAAACACGAACATTAGACCACGACATCAGAGGTTATAGTTAAGTTAGCAACTTCTGCAGCTGAACTGAGTTTAATACACCAAAACACTGTGGTTCATTTTCTAATAAAGGGACATTGTGCGCTTAGTAACTTCTCATTTTTAGCCTGACCTGATGATGCAAAAACAAAATCACACGATAAACATGCTTTTTTATCTCAAATTAATTTTTTCACATGCACTTTAAAAGAGAAGAGTAAGCAGAGCAGTGGGGAGACATGTGAGACAAAATATCAGTGTCCATATCAGTTTTGAAAAAATCGCCCTGATCGCACGCTGTGCTAAACAGAACAGTTACAGACCTGAAACCATTCGTCTTATGTACATTTTTCCAATCAGTGTCACTGAAACCTCTGAGTTATGAAGCCTTTCATAATTCGCCTGAGTTATGAGGCCAAAATATGAATTTTGCAACATGCAAGCTGAAGTGACATCTTAAATCAGGCAAGCACTCAGAAATACCCCAAACAAACCAGTGAGGTTTGAGCAGTGTGGTAGTTGAGCTGTTGTGGCAGTTGTTGGTACAGAACAGAGAGAGAAGAGAGAGAGAGAGAGACAGACACAGAGACAGCAAGAGAAAGAGAGAGAGAGAGAGAGAGAGATACAGACAGACACAGTGAGAGCAAGAGAAAGAGAGAGAGAGAAAAGAGAGAGAGAGACAGACAGACAGACAGAGAGAGCAAGAGAAGGAAAGAGAGAAAAGAGAGAGAGAGACAGACAGACACAGAGAGAACAAGAAAACGAGAGGAAAAAAAGAGAGAGAGAGAGAGAGACAGATAGACACAGAGAGAGAGAAAGAGAGAGAAAGACAGACACAGAGAGAGCAAGAGAGAGAGAGAGAGAGAGATACAGGGAGAGCAAGAGAAAGAGAGAGAGAGAGACAGACACAGAGAGAGCAAGAGAAAGAGAGAGAGAGAAAAAAAAGAGAGAGAGACAGACACAGAGAGAGAGAGCAAGAGAAAAAGAGAGAGAGAGAGAGAAAGACAGAGAGAGAGAGAGAGGGAGAGAGACAGACACAGAGACAGCAAGAGAAAGAGAGAGAGAGAGAGAGATACAGACAGACACAGTGAGAGCAAGAGAAAGAGAGAGAGAGAAAAGAGAGAGAGAGACAGACAGACAGACAGAGAGAGCAAGAGAAGGAAAGAGAGAAAAGAGAGAGAGAGACAGACAGACACAGAGAGAGCAAGAAAAAGAGAGGAAAAAAAGAGAGAGAGAGAGAGATAGACACAGAGAGAGAGAAAGAGAGAGAAAGACAGATACAGAGAGAGCAAGAGAGAGAGAGAGAGAGATACAGGGAGAGCAAGAGAAAGAGAGAGAGAGAGACAGACAGACAGACACAGAGAGAGCAAGAGAAAGAGAGAGAGAGAAAAAAAAGAGAGAGAGACAGACACAGAGAGAGAGAGCAAGAGAAAAAGAGAGAGAGAGAGAGAAAGACAGAGAGAGAGAGAGAGAGAGGGTGCGGGAGAAGCTGCCCAGAACTCCAGCCCGAGTTCTCAGAGTTCTCCCCCCTCCCTCAATCAGTCTTCCCTCATACTACCACCACCATGTTCAAGAATTTATAAACATGTCACAAATGTGCTTAAATTTAAATAGTCACCCAGAAATGGTGCAGAATCATCAATATTTCTTCTTCATTTTACTTCTTATACCTTTTCTTTGTTTTCAGTTTTTGAAAGTTCTAAAACTTTCTGTTGTTTAATAAAACGTTCTATTGTTTGAATGAAAAAAACAAGTTGCTGGACATTTGTAACAAACATTTGCACAGTGTCAACTTTCAGCACTCACAGTTCTGCACAGAGAGGCAGCACCTGGGGGCGCTGAGGGGGCTGTAGCCTTCCCCATTTCAGGACTGCAATTGTGTATAAAGGACTGCAAAAGTATGTACGAGTATGTATACATATATATGCATATGTGCCAGTTATATGTATATATCTGACACATCAGACCGCAGGTGCACATCTTCACTCTGCTCTCTCCTTCTGGACGAGCTCTGCATCCAGTGAGACGCTTGATGAGTGGAGCAGTAACTGATTATGTCACACCTACGGTCTCATGGTGAGATTTAACACTGACCGTGCAGCTACTGCAGATTTTGAAAAGATAAAAACACAAACTCCGCTCTGAAACAAGCACACATGGGTCTTTACTGCACTCAACCGATTATAACGTGCAGAACATTTTGTTGTAATTATTAACAGTTGCAGTCCTGAAATCAGGGAAGGCTGCAGCCCCCTCAGCACCCCCACTTGTAATTGACTGTAAATGTTAAAAGTGCAAATATTTGTTGCAAATGTCTGCGTTTAGCCCAGCAACCTGTTTTATCAGCTATTTCTGTTACACTTTTGTATATACGGTCATCTCTTGCCTCATTATAGCACTGAGTGACACATTCTGTCTGATGTACATTAGCAAAAATAATCAGTCAATCAATCAATCAATCAATCATTCAATAAATCAACCTTTATTTAAACTCGGAGTACACTGAGGGAGACCCTCATTGACACTGTAGCTGAGCCAAGACTGTAAAAACATATAAAATGCTAAAAAAGTAATAATAATAATCAAAATAGTAAATTTAATAGAAAAAAAAGCAATAAGCTATTGAAATTGTAACAGTATAATAACATAATAAATAGCAGATCAAACAGTGATAAAATAAATAAAAAACATAGTTAATGATATTTTAATAACATTTAAAGTTAACTAAAATAATAATATTAATATTAATAATAATTAGGTAAATGATTTTGCATGGCATTATCAATCACTTTACATATATGATGCTTTTGATCGCTGGTTCTGCATGTGAGAAGTTACTCCAAGGATCAAACTGCTGACTGTAGGCCCACGTTTAGGTGGTTGGACCGCTTCGGACCCCCAGTCTCACTTGGAACCTATCCAGTGGTCCCTAATTGTTCACTGTGGTCCATGAAAGCTTACTGTGTCCCAGTTAAAGCTGTGGGGGAAGCTGAGAAAGTGCTGCGCTCTGATGAACCGTGTCGTCATGACAGCGCTGTTGAATGTTTATGGGAGCCGTCAGTTTGTCCTTCACCATAACACTGGAAATCACGTTCCACATGCAGCCAATAAGAGGAGGAGTGAGTGCCAATACTGAGACCTGGCCACTTTAATGAGGGCATAGATGCAGTTTCTGCACCCCTGCTGAGGGGGAGAGTCTCTGGCGTTTACAGTGAATGGACAGTTTATTAGGTGCACCCACCTACGCACACTCAGTGACCATTTAAGGTCATTTTTGTGAGCCACACTCTGCCTCATCCATCACTGGAAAGGACCAGCATAGGACCACCACTGACCAGCCGTTGTTCGGGTTGTGGACTTTTCTCGGCACTGATGTTGTGTTTTTAAATATTCTGTACACTTTATTAAACATTTTGGCCACTTTTTTCAACAGATAGATTCATATCCTCAGATTCATATCCACAATTTATCTCATAATCCATCCTGCAAATCATTTTATCACCTTTCTGCTGTGAAATATTTCCATCTGATGGGTGGATCAGCTTCACCCAGCAGACGCTGTGTCTGCTTCCCCAACATAATCTCTGTAAAATCAGCTCAGACTGATGATCGCAGTGTTAAAGCAGAAACAAAGCGCTGGACACAAGAGGAACCATTCAAACTCCAACCTGATGCAGCACAAACGCTGAACACTGACTGTAGTTCAGCTACGACTGACTCAGCTGTTATTCTGATTTAGACTGATAGTCAGTTAAACCTGATTCATTCAGGACTCAGCAGGAGATTCAGAGCAGAACAATTAAGAAATGAATAGATTTATTAAACTAATCCACCTAAAACACAGATATGACCTCTCAAACTCACAATAACATCAGTTCATCAGAACAATAATGCTATCATAATAAGAGTCCTGTATAATTCCACTGTCAAATAAGTTCACTTGATGTAATTTAACAATATTTATAAAACACTTTTGCTGTGACTTCTAATATTACTACTAATAATTATGAGTTATTGTAATAATAATTATTGTTATTGATCGGCTGTTCTCTACCTACAGTCTTAAAAATGATGGTTCTTCAAGGGTTCTTCAGTAAAGAACACTCAAAGAACCCTTTGCATGATTAAATGGTTCTTTGCATCCTGAAATGGTTCTTCAGATTGATGGAGAGTCTACTGTAGATGGTTCTGTATAGAACCTTTCTATAGCGCACCCGAAAGTTCTTCTATTGTAATAAGCTTGTCATCGTAACAATAGAAGAACCCTTTTCAAAAAGCCTTTATGTAGAACCATATACAGCACACTCTCCATCAATCTGAAGAACCATTTTACCATGCAATGAACCCTTCAATCGTGCTGTATATAAACCTTTTGAAAAGGGTTCTATATAGCACCCAAAAGGGTTCTTCTATTGTAACAAGCTTGTCATCGCAACAGTAGAAGAACTTGTGGTGCTATATAGAACCCTTTTTGAAAAGATTCTATATAGAACCATATACAGCACACTCTCCATCAATCTGAAGAACCATTTCACCATGCAGAGAATCCTTTAATCATGCAGAGAGTCCTTTAAGTGTTCATGGTTCTCTATAGAACCAATTTTATTACTGTAGAACCCTTGAAGAACCGTCTTTTTTAAGCATGCAGAAGTGACACTGTGGTTGTTTAAAAATGCCATAAATGCTGATTTTCTTAGTACACTTGTTCTAGTGCACTACACAGTGTCAGTGCCACTGCTGACCCACCGGAAGAGTATCAGGACTGGTGGTCCTACGGTGGTCTCTTTCCACTTATAGTCACGTTAGAGGGCAGCTGGTAAGTTATTCAGCAACAGATGGGCTACAGTCAGTAACTGTACTATAAAGTGCACCTGTATGAGGGGTGTGTCTAATAAGATGGACATTGAGTGTCGATACTGGGTGAGTAAAAGCGCCCCCTGCTGTGAGCTCCACCTTCACGAGGTGTTGGATTAGTTTAGAACAGTCTGTTCCGACTCTAATCAGCCTACATTCCCCCACATTTAGCCCAGAATTCCTCGTGGTTGTTCTCGTAACGTCTGACGTAGTGAGACTAACATCACCCAAGCCTGAAGTTTCCCTCCTGAAGAGCACTAGACGAATATGAGCCGTCCTGTCCAGACATGGCACCTGGGAGTTCGGAGGACACGCTCTGTATTTATGCGCTCGGATGAAATATTTGACACTTGGTGCGGTTAGCCAAAGGATACAATGGAAGCTCAGTTCACTCAGTAAAAATTCAGGAGGAAAAACATTTAGACTGTGACAGGTTGATGGTGGTGAACGCTTTGCCGAATAAAGTGTTTTCATGATGTTGCACACGACAGCGTCTTTATAACTGTGGAGAGCTGAGCAGGCCAAGCCACAGCGTGACAACTTTATAGTTAGTCTCGTTCACTGTCACTGCCTTTAATCTGCAACCAGTCATATTCAGCTGGGTGTGTGTGAGATTCAAGGTGCCCTACAGTCTTAGAGCGAAGTGGCAGAAGGTTCTGTTCAGCGATGCTGTAGAAGAGCCACTTTGGATTCCTTAAAGCGCCAGGGAACTTGGATATGTAGGTTAGTCTTGTTCTTATGAGCCACAGTATACGTCCTATGAATTATGGCTGAAAATGGCTGATATACACTGCAAAAAATAGTATCCTGTCCGGTGAAATCATCGTAAATCTAGCCCATCTATCTAATATTTCCCATTTTGAGATGGTTGTGCTCTTATTATAAGATTATCCAGCTTATGTCTAGACATTTTTACTTGTTTTCTGTAATTTTATTACGTGAAATGATCTCACTCCACTGGCAGATAATTTTGCTGGCACATTTCATAAATTATCTGCCAATACTGAGATTTTCAATACTGAAAATTTTGCTTTTTTTACGCTGTTGGTTCACGCCTCTGACGTAAAACATATTTATCTATAATGTGTTTTTTCACCTGTCCCTCCAGCTTAATCACTATCCACAGTATTTTACCTGTGAGGTTCTTTAGGGAACCAAAAGTGTTTTTTTTTTGTAATGTACCTTTAAAGAACTCTTCTGACTCCTTTATTATTGTATACGATTTCCACCATGTTTTCAAAATCTTTTCATAATTCAGTGTGTCCACCCATCTATCTACCTATCTATCTATCTATCTATCTGTCTGTCTGTCCGTCCGTCCGTCCGTCCGTCCGTCTATTCGTCTGTCTGTCTGTCTGTTTATCTATCTATCATGCTTTGAAAATACATTTTGGTCCAGAATCTTCTCTAAACTATCCTAAAACAGTGTCTCAGTCATCAGGCAGTGAATTCATAACCATTTCATGTAGGAACTTTCTGTGAGGGAGCTTTTAGAGGTGGACGTCTGGTTCCTATCACCACCACTGTGAACAGTTCCGACTCTGTATTATTTGACTTTCACTTTAACCATTTAATTGTGCAGAATTTTGAAACATTGGTGGAATTCCCCTGTAAGAGCACAGCTGTGCTGTACCTGGTGCTGTTCTCCTGACAGATGTTTCAGGTACTTTTCCTATCGTCAGCTTTGCGTTCTATCATTCCTGCTGGGGTTCCTCGTTTTTTTATCACAAGACTTTTTTGATACGACTCGGAAAAAGAGCATAAGAGAATTCCTTTCACGAGCACTCCGGCTCCCGGGTCACTCAGGCAGCCGTTCTCTTCCTTCCGTTTCTCTTCACCGCTCCGGGGAGTCGATTGTGTGCACGGCGCATTTTGCGGGGTTCCAATCTCAATATTTTCTGAAACCGGAGAGCGCTGCGTCCCCCTCGTCCCCCTGCAGCCCCCTCCCGAGTGTGAGTTTTTGTTGAATGTGGCGCTGCTGGGTTGTTCGAGTCTGCCTCTCAGCCCCCAGATTCCTCTTGGACGGAGCCGGGCCTTTGACTAACTCCATATGGAATGCAGGAAGAACTCCAGTAACTGCTGGCTCAGGCACACAGCGAAATCATTTTGTGGTTTGCTGATATTTTTTTTCCTCTCTCTCTCTTTCTCTCTCTCTCTTTATCTCTATCTCTGCCTCTCTCTCCCTCCTGCAGACTATAAGAAGACGTATGGGGAAGAACATGGCTCGTGCCAAGCGGGAATAGCGGGTGTTTTCACTGAGGTCAGTGGCAGTGCATGTGTTGCACAGCACTTTTATGTTTTTTTGTCCCCGCAGTTTGTATTTTGTAATGCTTCTTGTTTGCACTGTGTGCTATTCGCGTGTTGCAATCTTTCCATTCTGTCCTCAGACCCATCACCATGCCTCCTGGTTTGCCATCCCAGAGTCTGCTGGGTTCATATGAATGAAAGTTCAGAAGTTTAGAAGGAAATTAGCATCTGTAAGCCGAGTGAGATCTTTTGTTGCGCGTTAATGAGCCTTGTTTATCACAGGGCTGCAGCCACGAATCAGGCCTGTGATCAGGGTGTGTTGGCCAGGGCTGAACGATTTGGGGAAAATATCTAATTGTGATATTGGAATCACAATTTAATTGCAGGTATTTTTATAAATCCATTTCCAGGCCAAGAAGAGCAGAATAGTGCTTTTTCTGGAATGAGTTTAGTTAGTTGTGGTTGTGATGTCACATGTACAGCACATGTTTTTGTTGCTTCTCATTGGTCTAACTCATCTACAAACTTCACAATCTCTGTGTTATTAGGTTAAATTTTCCCATTTAAAAAGTGTCAAGACTAATATTTTGTATGATAAAATTCCAGCTCTTGCAATATGAAAATAACAATCTCTCAAATTGCAAAATATATATTTTAAAATGCTTGATCTTTTGGCCCTAGGGTAGACCCAAAACAACTGGGATACAATATTTATTAAGCTGCTTTTTTAACGTTTTTTTAAGGTTATAAAATTTCACTCACTTTCTGTTTTTGTATAATGGCCAATCAACATGATTACACTTCCCGCCTCATTCCTGAATTTGCGAGGTACAGTCTAATCGGCCAATCCTCAGCTCTGCCTTATTTTCTCAGCCATCCTATCACTGTTTAGCAACTGCTTCTATCCAACATTGCCTCAAGTGTTCAGTTCGTTATCAGTGCCAGTGTTTAAATTTCAAGCGCCAGCTGCGGTGAAAAGATGTACCTGTGGGATGCGTAAAAGTGAGATCCTGTCGTTCACCCAAAGCCAAAAACAAAATAAAAAAAAAAAAACGTTGTCGTCTTTGACTTGCGCTTTGATTCTTATGGTGCTCTTTTACTACAAAAGGTGAAATAAGCTGCATCAAAATGTCATCTGGAAAAAACTAGAAAAGCTGAACTGATATTCACCCATTTTACATTAATGGCATTTGGCAGACACTCTTATTCAGAGCGACTTACAACGTGATCCTTTTACACAGGTCGGTGAAGGTGGTTTTGGGAGTCTTGCCCAAGGACTCTTATTGGTATAGTGCAGGGTGCTGACCCAGGTGGGGATTGAACCCCAGTCTATAGCATAGAAGGCAGAGGCATTACCCACTACACTACACCAACCACCTAGTTTTTGGCTTCGTAGTGCAAAAGGGAACCCCAGTCTTTTGCTCAGCTCAGCTCAGCTCAGCCCTTGCATCATCCGGTTCGATCACTCAAATCAGATTTGAAACTGCCTACAAGTGTGATGCGAGTCAAAGCTCAAAGCAGATACACTGAAAAATCAGATTTGATGTGTCGGACTGAACACAGCCCGAGTGATGTTAACTTTCTGTTCTGAAACATGTTCCTCTGCAGCTGGAGGCCTGAACTCGAGCTCAGTGTGTGTGGAAACCGCGTGATGTCGTAAAATCCCTGTTTAATTTCACTGAGTGCTCTCAGGTCGTTTGGGAATTGTATTATTCTGAGCGTAAACACTTAACTATGTGCAGTTTATCGGAGAATGGCAGTACAGTACAGTACAGAACGCAGGAATAAAGTAGTGAAGAGTAGCTTTAGTAATGCAGTGACAGCCAAACAAGTTTCAACATATGCATTTAACAGTCATTACAACCATTACGGTCATTATGACAAACCGTTATTCATTAAACTGCTCTGACGAGTGTAAAACATACTCTTTTTTTAATTTAATTTAATTTTATTTATTTATTTATTTTTGGGAAAAAGCAGTTTAAAACATTTCCTTTATGAAATTAGGACCATTCTACCGAACTAGCTAACTGCGCTTTTTTCACTTTTTTTCACGTTTTTTTAGGACTTTGATTTCTATGAGGATCATGTTCCATTTAAACCCAAGACGTTAGGAGAGATAGCAATAAGCTAAATATATACACAAATCCCAAACCCAAACCCCTAAACTTACGTTTTTTGTTTTGTTTAGTTTTTTAATGTTTTTCTTAAAGATCTTTTTAACATCTTTAAAAGTGGAGCAGTTTAGATTTATCATCAGTTTAAATTTAAAATTGAAAAGCTTCAAAAAATGCTGTTCCACGTTTTCATGTCACTACCGGCGCACAAAGAGTTTTAGTCTGTAGGTGGACCCTTATTTTAGCCACGCCCCTGCATTTTATCCCTGTCCCTCATGGCCACATGGTGAGCAGTTAGATCCCATTGTTTTGAAGTAAATGAGTCCCAAAGTCTGAAAATCTGTGTGGAACATTAAGAATCGCCATATTTTCTGCAGTTCAGCACTTTTTAGTGTTTTAATGGAAAATATGATGATTTGTGAACAGCTGTTCAGAGCTGTGTTTGCTGGTCATGAACTGCTGAGTTTCTGAGCTCAAAATGAGCTAAAATTGTCACTGAAACAGTCACTACTGAAACAGACACTACTGAAACAGACACTACTGAAACAGTCACTACTGAAACTGTCACTACTGAAACAGTCACTACTCAAACAGTCACTACTGAAACAGACACTACCGAAACAGACACTACCGAAACAAACACTACTGAAACAGTCACTACCGAAACAGACACTACCGAAACAGACACTACCGAAACAGACACTACTGAAACTGTCACTACTGAAACAGTCACTACTCAAACAGTCACTACTGAAACAGACACTACCGAAACAGACACTACCGAAACAAACACTACTGAAACAGACGCTACTGAAACAGACGCTACTGAAACAGACACTACTGAAACAGTCACTACTGAAACAGACACTACTGAAACAGACACTACTGAAACAAACACTACTGAAACAGACGCTACTGAAACAGACACTACTGAAACAGTCACTACTGAAACAGTCACTACTGAAACAGACACTACCGAAACAAACACTATTGAAACAGACGCTACTGAAACAGACACTACTGAAACAGTCACTACTGAAACAAACACTACTGAAACAGACACTACTGAAACAGACACTACTGAGACAGACGGTAAAGTTTAGTAGAGTTATGATTGTTTTGGTAGAGACTAAATGGAATGTTTTATCATTAGTTTTAATGAAATAAACATAATTCAGGTTTAGAGTCACTCAGATCAAAAGGATTTTAGTCTAAAATACAAGATCAGTTAAAAGTCCCAAACGTGTTTCAGCTCTGACTCTGAACCAGATCAGTAAAATGATCAATTAAGAATTATGCGTGTTTATGGTGTTTTTCCCAGAAGGTGTTTTTCCAAGGTGCTGTTTAGTCCCGATATATATATCATTTCTCACCGCAAGAGGAAATAAATGTGCGTTTAGATCACTGTGATGTTCAAATGCATAATAAATATTCAGTATATTCATGCCAATATATAAATATTTGTCCAAAAATAATACAAATTACACATAATTTTTCCAGAAAGAAGACAGAAACACTCCTGGACATGCTACTTTAATGAGATTCTCAGGTGAAAATCCATTTGTGCTCTTACTCTGCGTCTAGAACGCTGCCCCACAGAGCGCATCTTTGCTGCTGCGTTGCTTTCATGATGGTGCTGATGAATTGGGTTCTGGGCATCACTTCTATCAGACTGTGTTCTGGTACTGATTCCAAACATCTCAGTGGGCAGCGCTCCTCAAACCCTGTTTATCACATAAACGCACTGGCTGCACTTTAAACAGAAGGCTGAAATGGACAAATACCACAAAAAAAAAAAAACAAATATTTGAATTTTAGAGCATTTAATGCATGCAGCCCAGCATACTCTGGCAGAACCAGCGTTGGAGCATCAGGAAAGTTCCATCAAAGCTCCTGTAGATGGATTGCTGGAGCGTTTTCAGTGAGGAATCTGAAAAACCTAACCCGAAGCAGCGGAATTCCTCCAGGCCAGGAGGGCCTGCTCTCCAGGTGTTCCACAGATGGGTCAGTGCTGGACCTTATCATCAGAGATCGGCCTCACACTAACATCTTGTGTGACCATCAAGACCTTTAAGCATCTAAACCAGATGGTTGGCCTGCGGGAAAGCTCTGTCGCTCAGGCGGTTGGAAGCTGGTGGCTCAGCTGGAGGTGCTGTATTGCGTGTTTGGCTGGCCTGACCTCCGCGTCTGATGCCATTTGGTGTTTTTTCTTCTCAGTGCAAATGGAAAATGCTTATTTGGGAACCATTTGTGACTTCAGATGAACTCAGATGTTTGGCCACTCACTGTTTAAGTGCATTTTACATTGTTATCCTCATCAGTAATCAGCATGTGAAAGAAAATATCACGTATCAGCGCTGTCAGAAAAGATTTTTGTCATTTTTAAATGGTTTTGTACTAAAATGTCAGCTGCTGTTTACACCAATAGAAATGGCTTACAATAAAATATAACATATACATAACAAACAACATATACATAAACACACACACACACACACGCACACATATGTATGTATGTATGTGTATATATATATATATATATATATAATATTATATTTAATATTATTAAAAATAATATACTATACAAAATATTATATACTATTAAAAAAAGTTTTTTCAAGGGTCAATAGAAGACAGTAGAACCATGAACACTTGAAGAGCCATTAGCATGGTGAAATTGTAGAAATATAGAACCTTTTTCAAAAGGGTTCTGTGTAGCACCAAAAAGGGTTCTTCTATTGTAGACAAGTTTGACATCGTAACAATAGCAGATCCCCTTTTAGTGCTATATGAAACCATATACAGCACTTTCTTCATCAATCTGAAGAACCATTTCACAATGCAAAGAACCATTTAATCATGCAGAAGGTTCTTTACGTGTTCATGGTACTGTGTAGAACCCCTGTCTTTACTAAAGAACCCTTGAAGAACCATCACTGTGCAAGTCTCAGGCACCAAAGTAAATTGTTTAAACCTGTTTATCTGGGCTGTCAGTGTGATTCAGGCTGTAAAAACATAAAATAAAATAAAAACATCATAAAATAAATATAAACACAGTTAAAATCTAATAAGAATTTATTGTTTTCAGAAAGGTAGTGGATATGACAGTTGGGAGTGGTTAAGTGAACGCATTGACATACAGAAAATCTCTGCATGCTGCATTATTATTATTATTCATCTTCATTGTAATGTTACTGCTATTTTCTAAGGAAACATTTCATTAAAAAGTCTTTTAAAAGTAATTTTATGCTCAGGTGCCTGACATTTTTGCGCAGTGTATGTGCAGGTACATTTTAAACAACTACTCTTATAAATAAATAGTAATTACAAATTATACTAATAACAAATAACTACTAAAAAGATAACATATGAACTGATCTTATTTATTTATTTATTTATTTTATGTGTGATTTAACATATTACCAGTTGTCCGGGCTGAAACACAACTTCAGTGTGAGTGGGCGGGGCTAAACAGCTGGAGGCAGACGCGTACATATGTAGTTTTTTCTGACATCACAAAAAATGAATTCAGAACGGGCTGTTTTTGCAGCTTAGTTTCTGTATATGGACTGTGTGGACTGGGCAGTGAGTGGTGTGATTATGGGCCCCTTAATATATTCATGTTGCTAAAATGGGTGGTTAAAATTGTAAAATTGCGAACCAATGAAAACATTTTAAAGCAGTAAGCTATGCAAATCCATTGAGGGATCAAAGCAGGAAGTGACAGCTGGCGTTTCAGCTCGTGGTCGGGTTAGCAGCAGATAATACAGCGCAGTTTGTGGCGGCTGGTTAACCAGAGCCTCACCGAAAGCTCCGCTTTTTTCCCCTCGTAATTGTAAGCTCTGTTTCTGCAGACCTCAGTGAAAACGCTGAAGGCCAGCGCTGTGTTTTAGACGCGTTTCCATGGCTTCAGTTTTCTGGGTGCTGTTTTCTAAAAAATGCTGTTGATGTTCCAGGAGCTTGTCGTCATGGGAGCACCTGGATCGTACTACTGGACCGGAACAGTCAAAGTGTTCAACATCACCTCCAACTCGCAGTACAGCCTCAACAAGGATGAGCTGAGTTCTCAGAGATACAGTTACCTGGGTTTGTATTCACGTCTTTCAAGCCCCTTTTTACACAAGCACCTTACAACGGGAATTTAACGGTAACAGGGTCATTCTACAGAAACGTCCACTTTCCTCTCTGTCCATAGGAGTCACTGGTGTTACTGATCCTCATTGGTGTTATACATAATAAAGGGAACACCAGAGACATTTTTAATGAACAATGCATTTAACAGAATGGCTGCTACAGAGCATCAAACCACATGTTGTCAGTCATGGAAAATCCACTAAAATATGGAATTTAATCCATTTGTATTCTATTTTTTCACAGTTACCTCAGAATAAAGTCGGTCACACCAGTGACTTCAGCTAAAAGCTTCATATGAAATCATGAGCTAAATGAGAAAATCTCTGATAACTGAAAGACACAGTGGACTCACCATGAGCTTTTCTTCACAGATCCTCAGAAAACAGGGAAAAGGAAGTCGAGTGATGTCATCAGTGTGACTTTTATTTCAAAATAAGAGATTTTTGTTACGCAATAACACCAGTGACACGACTCCTGGGGACCACAACTTTCATTATATATTTAATAATATTTATTTGGCATTTGTTTTCTTTATGTCAGTTAATTTATATTTTCCATAGTCATGTATAGATTATCGTAGTTAAAATGGCAGAAAAATGTTTTTTTCTTCAAAATTTGGCCTCAGCCTTCACACATGACTGTGGGGATGAGCTCTTCTGTGGTGTTTGGAATTCTAGATAATTGATTTAAAAACCAATATTAAATTGAGGCTCAAGAAGGTGTAATTGTTAAAATGACTTATTGTTTTATTTTAAAATATAAATAAATTGTAACCCAAACATGTTTTTGAAGTGTAATATATCTGTAAACGCTAGGGACACAAAAATGGACGTTTCTGTAGAATGACCCTATTAAACAGTGAGGGGGTCAGTGTGGCGCGAGCTGGAGTGTAAATCACTGTAAAGTTGGCTCTGTGTAAGACCCGGGAAATTATGTGAACAGAAGCCCATAGAATCGTGTGCAAAAGTTTGGTCAAGCTGCATGTTAGTGTTGATTTGCATGTTTTAATACACAATGACTTTATTTACTAAATTTTATATATCAGCAAAAGCAAATGTGTGCGCAATATTACTTATTTTCCAGTATGTTAAACTTAGTGTGTCCCTTTATGGGGAAAATTGAGCGCTAAAGTGTGTCTCTGTAGAGGATGTGTAACTTATTTACACTTCAAAATCAACAAATCATGCTGTCTGCCATCATTTATTACTAATACTGTTTATTTGAACTGTATGTTGTATGTTAAACTTTGCAAACTTGGTGAAGTTTGTCCTTTTATGGGGAGAAATTGAGCGCTAAAATTTGCCGAGAAGTGCCATAATTACCTGTTTTCTCACTAGAGGATGTGTAACTCATTTACACCTAACAAATCATGCCGTCTGACCGGGGGTGTATGAACTTTTGGACACAACTGTTTATTATTGGGAAATACAGATGGGCCGAAGGTTTCTGTGATGATTTAGTTAAGTGAATAAAAATTCCACAGTAAATTTTGTACATTTTGTAAGTTGGACAAAGTTTGTGCAAATTCCATGTTGTTGTTGATCTTCTAGGTGTAAATAAGTTAGACGTCTTCTACAGAGACACACTACTGCACATTTTAATGCTCAGTTACTGTTTATTTGCTTAATTTAATATATTAGCAAAAGCAAATAATAAAACATAAAATTGCACATCTGGACACTTTATTTCAGTATCAGTATCTGCACATATTTATTCAGTATTGTCATTATCTGCTGTTACCTGCGCCTCCTTGTACATCATTACTGCACTGCCCTTTTATCTCAGGATAGATCTTATTGCATATTTTTGTATATTTCTGTTTGTATATCTGCCTGTAGATGGGTTTTTGTTGTATATATTCCTCTTTGTATATTGTATCACCCTTATTACTATAACTGTCCTGTGTTGTGTGACTCATATATATATATATCCATCCATACATCCATCCATCTGTCTATCTGTATGTGTCCTGTGCAATATTTTCATTTTTTCCAGTATGTTCAATTTAGCCAACTTAGCAGAGTTTGTCCCTTTATGGGTAGAAATTGTGCACTAGAATTAGCAGAAAACACCATGTTTAAATGTGTCTCTGTAGAGGATGGATGTGTAACTTACTTACAAATCAGCAAAACATGCCGTCTGACCAGGAGGTTCAGTGTTTTCTATACGACTGTACATTACCAGGAAATACAGCAACGTCTAGATTAGCTAAACAATTTAATTTAATTGAACAGTTTTTTGGTTTAGTTCTGCAAGTGGAAATTCCATAGGAGTAAATTTTGCACATTTTGTAAATTTTAAGTTGTTACTTAAAAAAAAACTACTGCGCAAAACAAAACGTTTGTGTGACACGTTAAAGTTGAGTTTTCAGTTTTCAGAGATAAAAAAGTCCCAGGAGAGAACATTTGAACATAATTCAGAAATGAAGGAGCTGTTTGCTGCTCATGCTGACGACGTCACCTCCTGTTAAACGAGATTTTATGGCATGTATGAATAACGTTTTTGAGTAAATAACCCTTTAAGGGCTTTTACCGGTATGAAGGTATTCCTGTAATGTTCTGGGTTCCCAGCTAACAGGGAACGTTCCCTTAACTTACTAACGTTACCTACAAGTTCTAATAATGTTTAAAGTAAACCTTTTAATCTGATGTTTAAAGAACGTTTTAAAGAATGACAGCATTTCAAATGATGTTCATATAAGGTTACATGTAACTGCGACATAACGTTTTAACTGCAACATTCGGACGATGTTTTAAGGATTTCGTTAGGGCCACAGATTGTGTTACATGATGACGTTTTTAGGGAACATTCCCAAAAAAAAAACCTTCCTGCTGAAAACATTAATAGAACATGTGTGTAATTTTCTCAGAACGTTTTTAGAAGAAAACATTTCTAGCTGGGTTTATGTGTGGAGACAAACACAGCAGCGCATCATCCAGTGTTCATTTTAGTCTGAGGGTAGCGTAACTGACCGTTCTGTGTTTTTTGGTTTTATTTGACAGGTTATGCAGTGACCGCTGGCCACTTTTCCTCACCCACCACTATCGATGTTGCTGCTGGAGCCCCTCAGGACGGGGGTGAAGGAAAAGTAGGTGGAATCTGTTTCCTCCCCTTTTATGGGTTTTGCAGCGTCTTTGTGTGAAAGGAAACATTGGTCTCTCACACCTACTGACGCTTTCATGTCTTCCTTTCCTGCAGGTTTACATTTTCAGAATTGAGGGTACATCTCTTGTGAAGACCTTTCAAGCCTCAGGGAAAATGGTTTGTAAAAAAAAATAAAAAATGTGGACCCGAGTTCTTTTGCGGTGCTTAAAATAATTTTCTTCATTTTGTGTAAACAATCTCAACTTTTTTCAACAAAACAGCATAAATGTTAGCGTGAGTGGTCAACTCTGTGTTTGTACTGAAGAACCACAGTGTTTATGTTCATGAAAAGAACAGCCTGGAGCACAAACGCTGGCTCCGCAACAAGCTTTAGTCCGAGGTGCATGTGTGTTATGTAAGACCTCTTCAAGTAATTGAGTTTGTATGAAAAATTAGTGTTTGGGCTCCTATTCCTTTCATTCAGCAGATAAATGGAGGCCGTGACCTACTTTCAGCAGAAATCTTCCCCGAGTCGTCCTTTGAGATGCTTTGACAAGCTGGTTTATTATCTCGTTTGTGCCGAACGGTGTTATATTTAGGACTGTCGAATGATTAAAATGATTAATCGTGATTAAGTACATTAATTTGTGGAGTTAATCACGATTAAACACATTTGTCTTATTTGCTGACATAGAGATTTGTTTATGTTTAAGTAATGTATGTTGTTATAGCTGTATGAGTGTATTTATTACCATATTTACCTAATTCAATAACATTAATCCAAACACAGAACCAGAGAGTTCCACACAGTGAACACAGTTTCCGATTTTCCTTTCCGACATCCAGTGAGAGCAGCAGTGTCTGCACGTTTTGACCAAAGACAGTCTGTAATACACCGATAGGTGCACTTTGTAGTTCTACAGTTACAGACTGTAGTCCATCTGTTTCTCTGATACTTTGTTAGCCCCCTTTTACCCTGTTCTTCAGTGGTCAGGACCCCCATGGACCCTCACAGAGCAGGTACTATTTGGGTGGTGGATCATTCTCAGCACTGCAGTAACACTGACGTGGTGGTGGTGTGTTAGTGTGTGTTGTGCTGGTCTGAGTGGATCAGACACAGCAGTGCTCAGATCTACAGTCTGTAACTGTAGAACTACAAAGTGCACCTATATAGTAAGTGGAGCTGATAAAATGGACAATGAGTGTAGAAACAAGGAGGTGGTCAGAATGTTATGCCTGATCGGTGTATATAAATCATTTGTACCATCAGTGGTTCAGTTCCTCTGTGATTGTAGCCTCTCACTCGCGTTCATACAGCTCATGAGTTCTTGTTACAGTGGAGGATCTCACTGGGACGTGGAGCTCCTCTAAGCTGCTGCTTTTGCTATTTTGCTGCTGGTTGATTTGTCCATATTTCTCCTGCGAGTGCCGTCCAGCATAGCCTGCTGATATTTTAGCATCGGGACTGTGTTTTGCTTAAAAAAAGTGCTTCGGACACGATGTTCTTAAGTGATAAACAAATTCACGACTGCAGTAGCTAGAAATAGCTTTGTTTTTATCAAAAGAGCCATCAGTGCAACTTTGTGCTAAGTTGACTTGATAAAATTAACTTACTGTTCTTCATGTTATTATTGTTTAAAACTTTGCGGGACTGTAGCTCCTGTACGGGAATAGTGGTGCATTCTAGCACATACTGTATGCGCCTGACATGCATATCAGCAACCACCTGGGATACCATAGTAACAGCTTAACAGCACCTTAGCAACCACCTGGGAAAACATAACAATGGTCTAGCAACACGTTAGCAACTCTCTGGGATAACACTGCAATGGCGCCTTAGCAACCACCTATAAATCACATAGCAAATGCTTAGCAACACCTTAGCACCTTACCTTGAGATGCCATAGCAATGGCCTGGCAACACTTTAAAAACTACCTGGAATAACGTAGCAACAGCATAGCAATACCTTAGCAATCATCTGAGATAACAGCATTGTCTAGCAACACCTTAGCAACCACCTGGGATACCATAACAACAGCATGGCAACACTTTAGCACCCACCTGAGATAGCATAGCAGTGGCCTACCAACACCTAAGCATCCACCTGGGATAAAACAGCAACAACCTAGTAACACCTTAGCATCCATCTGGGATAACATAACAATGGCCTAACAACACCTTAGCAACCACCTGGGATAACATAGCAAAGGCCTAGCAACACCTTAGCAACCACCTGGGATAAAATAGCACCACTCTAGCAACACCTTAGCAACCACCTGGGAGAACATAACAATGGCCTAACAACACCTTAGCAACCACCTGGGACAACATAGCAAAGGCCTAGCAACACCTTAGCAACCACCTGGGATAACGTAGCAATGGCCTAGCAACACATTAGCAACCACATAGGATGACATAACAATGTCCTAGCAACACCCTAGCAATCATCTGGGACACCATAGCAATAGCCTATCAACACCTTAGCAACCACCTGGGATAAAATAGCAACAGTCTAACAACTCCCTAGCAACCACCTTGAATACCATAGCAATAGCCTATCAAGACCTTAGCAACTATCTGGGATAAAATAGCCACAGCCTAACAACTCCTTAGCAACCACCTGGGATACCATAGCAACACCTTAGCAGCCACCTGGGATGCCACTTAATGTTGGTTTGTTTGTTTCCCTTTCCAGTAATTTGAAGGCTGTATTTGAACGCTGCAGTAACAAAGTCATAGCAATACACAGTGTAATCAGCTGAACTCCAGGATGGAGCTACAGATGGTCTGAAGGTTCAGTCTGTGAAATGCAGTAACTTTGACACCACTAGTTATATTATTTTGCTCCTAATTTTGTGGTTCATGCAAGTGGTCTTATTCCAAAATGATAAAAACCCCAAAATGATACTGACTCTGTGTATAGAGGACGTTTGCTACCATTCACCTTACTTTCCATTCACTCGGATTTAACAAGCGTACTAATTAGGAAATCTGCATTGACTGTGTGTAGAAATGTTGGATTTTGACCCGTTGCGCTCTGTGCCTTGGCTTGGTTTCAGATGGGCTCTTACTTTGGCTCCTCACTGTGTGCAGTTGACCTGAACGCAGACGGACTGTCGGACCTGCTGGTGGGGGCACCCATGTTCAGCGAGGTCCGGGACGAAGGCCAGGTGTATGTTTATCTCAGCAGGGGCAACGTGAGTTCACTCGGCCTTCTCTTACAGCAACACTGCAGTATTATACACAACGTATAGATGGTTTATCGGGTTTAAGCAGTGCTGAGCTGCCTTTGAAGCCGTCTCTGATGTTTTAATAAACCTCCTCGTGTTTTAGTGTTAATAACTGCGTGTGATAAATCAGGTCAGTGTATGATCTTTTAATCTCATGGAGAATTCTGTGTGTGTGTTCCTGCAGGGGGTGATGGAGGAGGCTGAGATTCTGAACGGAGAGAACGCTTACAATGCCCATTTTGGAGAGTGCATCACCACCCTTGGCGACATTGATGATGATGGATATCAAGGTCAGAATGTGCAGACTGTGCTCATCTAAAGCCCTACTTGAGCTGGATTAGTATTATATCAGGACGTGCTGTAATTTGAGTGATTATAGACGAGATCTGTGATTTTAATCCAGGATGAATCAGCCATGTCTGTTTTTGCAAGTCTGCTAAGTAATAATTCCAGAGTGAATTGCCTCTTATAATGTGCCAAACTCAGAGCTCCTCAGCAGTAGCAGTCCTGCTCAAATCCACATCTCAATAATGTAATAACAAAACTGAGTAATGGAAAACGGACAAGACTGAAATTCCTATTCGCCAGCTTCTTGTTCTAATTTTCCCATTCCACCTTAAGTGGTGCAGCAGTTACATTCTGGCACTTCAGTTTGCCCCTTCCATCTTAAATAGTGCAGCAGTTGTTGAGGACCCTGAAGCACCAAAAAGAAACCGCTGCACCATTTAAGGTGCTACCTCTTATTTGACAGCTTCTTGTTTGAATTTTCCTGTTCCACCTTAAATGGTGCCGCAGTTACATTCTGGCACCTCAGTTGTCCCGTTCCACCTTAAATGGTGCAGCAGTTACATTCTGGCACCTCATTTTTCCCGTTCTACCTTAAATGGTGCAGCAGTTACATTCTGGCACCTCATTTTTCCCGTTCCACCTTAAATGGTGCAGCAGTTACATTCTGGCACCTCATTTTTCCCGTTCCACCTTAAATGATGCGGCAGTTACATTCTGGCACCTCAGTTGTCCCGTTCCACCTTAAACGGTGCAGCAGTTACATTCTGGTCCCTCAGTTTTCCCGTTCCACCTTAAATTTTGCAGCAGTTACACTCTGGCACCTCATTTGTCCCGTTCCACCTTAAATGGTGCAGCAGTTACATTCTGGCACCTCAGTTGTCCCGTTCCACCTTAAACAGTGCGGCAGTTACATTCTGGCACCTCAGTTCCCCCGTTCCACCTTAAACAGTGCAGCAGTTATTGAAGGGCCTGAGGTGCCAGAAAGTAGCTGCTGCACCATTTAAGGTGGAACAGGAAAATCCATCTTTCTACGAAGCTGAAGTTGATGCCTTATTTGTCAGATCTTTGATCGAATTTCCCCGTTCCACCTTAAATGGTGCAGCAGTTATATTCTGGTGCCTCAGTTTTCCCATTCCACCTTAACTGCTGCACCATTTAAGTTGGAACGGGAAAATTTGAACAAGAAGCTGGCGAATAAGAAGCTGCTTCGTAGAAGCTCCTCTGATAAACTAATCCAGCTAATCCAGTGCTTTTTGTCACTGTACCTTTAAGACTGATATATGTAAATGAGCTCCATTCTGGTTGGCTGATTGTGTTGTTCTTCATTCGAAAAAAACTTCAAGCTGAAACACACCTCATAACTTCAGTGTAAGGGGGCGGAGCAAACCGGCTGTAGGCTGAAATGTTGGATATATGCAAGTGACATCACAAAAACACTGAATTTAAAACAGGCTGTTTTTGCAGATTTTTTCCATGGACTGTATGGAAAGTTCCCAAGCCCTGTATTAGTAGGTCTCCAAACCTAAAACTCGTTGAATGTAGGAAATGATTTAATTTGCCTTTCTAGTGATCGAATTTCAAATTTTCATATAAAACGATATAAAAATGATTAATCGTTCAGCCCCACAGTAACTGCAGTTTTTGTGAAAGTAATTTCCTTCAGCGCATAAATCTGGCTGTTTTAACTTCCTCGTAAATGTGAAATGCAGCCCTTTTTTGGGGTCAGTTCTTCTAACGATAAGACAGTAACTCTTCATCAGGTGACAGAAAAAGACGTTTGTGATTTTGTGAGATCCGGTCAGAATTCTGTTTGGTGACCTCTACTCTTACTTTTCTATTTTCCTGGCTCTCCGTCTGCTCTCGGAGCCCTTTTGGCAGCAGGTTTCATCCTCCAGTGAGGTTCCTTAAAGACGCTGGACACGTTTCCTGATTTTAGCTCTCCGTTTTCTGTCTTTCTGCCAGCGAATTTCCTGCGATGACAGAATTCAGAGTCAGACTTTTTGGGCAGCTCCTCACTGACGTGTACTCAGCTCTGCGTTCGCTCGACATACGTAAGCCCAGAGGATCAGCTGACGAAGGGATTATGTGCTATTAGAGCTGGAGCAGCAGTTCAGCACCTGCACTGTGAAAGTACCTGAAGGCCTTGGCTTGAACGTTACCTGAAAATGCTTGAGTTAATCCCTTAACGTCTCAGTAACGTGAGATTTAAAATTATCTTTGACTTGCTGCATGAATCTTTTGCTGATTTTTAACAAAACCACTGAAAACTTGACTTGTATTGTGAATAAAATTATGAAAAAAACTGCTTGATGTTTCCATCAAACTTCCATTAGTATTAAACCCAGCAGAGGAAAGTTCTCATTGTTTAGGCTGATTAACTAACAGCATTGTGAAGAACATTCACTGTTAAACAGATCAAACTTTGGTTGTCAAACCAAACTAATAAGTTTACATCATATCTTCATCTCTGAGGCCAGACTGAGTGAGAAGTATACACTGGCAGCTTTGGACTTAATTAGGAATAAATTAATAGTTTTATTTCTGCTGTTAGTGATAGTCGTGTTGCTCTAAAAGCTGGAATTAACCATTTTATTCTCTGTCGGGTTGAGTCAGTGCTGGTTGGCTACACTCAGATTTTGGGACAGTCAGAGTCAGGCAGTATTTAAGTGTGACACCTCTGCTGTCCAGCGATGTTATATTTTTCTCACAATCAGTTTTCTTTTAACGAGTTTTCTTTTCAGGTTTAATGTAAGTCTCAGTCCTGAATCAGCTCTGATATTGTAGTTCTTGTCATAAACTACCAAACCACACCAAGACCTGCCAAACTACACTAACAATTACCAAACCATACCGAAAACTACCAAACCATACCAAGAACCACCAAACCACACCAAGAACCACCAAACCGCTCCAAGATCTACCAAACTACACTAACAATTACCAAACCATACCGAAAACTCCCAAACCATACCAAGAACCACCAAACCATACCGAAAACTACCAGACTATACCGAAAACTACCAAACCATACCAAGACCTACCAAACCATACCAAGAACTACCAAACCATACCGAAAACTACCAGACTATACCGAAAACTACCAAACCATACCAAGAACTACCAAACCATACCAAGAACCACCAAACCATACCGAAAACTACCAGACTATACCGAAAACTACCAAACCACACCAAGAACTACCAAACCATACCAAGAACCACCAAACCATACCGAAAACTACCAGACTATACCGAAAACTACCAAACCATACCAAGACATACCAAACCATACCAAGAACTACCAAACCATACCAAGAACTACCAAAACAGACCAAGAACTACCAAACCACTCCAAGACCTACCAAACTACACTAACAATTACCAAACCATACCGAAAACTACCAAACCACACCAAGACCTACAAACCACACCAAGACCTACAAACCATACCAAGAACCACCAAACCACACCAAGAACTACCAAACCATACCAAGAACCACCAAACCATACCGAAAACTACCAAACCACACCAAAAACCACGAAACCACACAAAGAACTACCAAACCCTACAAAAATCTAAGTGAGCCTCTGGCGAAGAACTAAGTTTCTGAGCAGAGTGGTTGTTTACTTTTCTAGTTTAAGTAGCCACAGCAGTGAATGTGGCTCTTCCCTTTTTTCTAAACTGTGCTTTGATGTATTAAGTTATTATAAAATTATTAAATAAGTCAGCCTTTCCTCCAGTTTGATGTGCTGAATGCTGCACTTGCTGGACATTTTTACAACTAGACTAGCAGCTTTGCTCGAAGCAGATGTGAGGTGATCATTTTCAGAAGGCTTTGCTGCTGTTCTGCATTTTATATGTATCAAATTAAAGCCTGAAGACCTTTATTTTATTAAAGTAAGGCGATTTTATTATGCGCCTTCCGCCCAATGACAGCTGGGATAGGCTCCAGCACCCCACCGCGACCCAGAAGGATAAGCGGTTTAGATGATGGATGGATGGATTGAATGTCTGAGTTTGAAGGTCTTACAGCGGTGCAGTGACTGTTTCCTCGTGTTTTGCTGTAGATTGTCTATGTGTTCAGATTGTGAAAGCTGCTTGTAGAAGCTCCCAGTAGAAGGTTCAGTTGTGTGTTCATGATGTTTTGCTGGTTGAAGTAAAGCGCTCTGGTGTAGAAGCACTTACTGTTATTTTGGCTTCACCTTATCACTGTTTGCAGTAGTTCTGTTGAAATGTTCCTTTAAACTCTTGCAGATACAGTAGGTGACAGCAAACAGAATATGTGGGCAGAACGCAGAGGAAACTGGTTTTCACACTTGAGATTAAAGCCCTTGTTTTTGTAAAAGGGTAGAAGTTCCAAGCGATCTAGGACTGAAGGACTAGTTGAGAAAGCCAACCACAACAAACTGATGTGGATTTCTTGTTGTATAAAGTCAACATGCATTTTAATCCTGTCGGTTTGTTGCATCATAAGAAGAGATCGTTTGTGGAACAAGAGAACTTTAAAGAGTGACAGCAGCAAAGAAAGATAAACTCAAAAAGAAAGGCCACCACAAAGTCACCACACGTTAAAATATTACAGTATTATTGCCACTGTTGCACAAAAACCCTGTGTCTACATTTTTGTCACTTTTTATGCATAATTGGAAAAGTCCAGTTACTCTCTGACTATCTAATACAGGGAGGAGTCTGAGTAGTGTGAGCTTCTTTAATAGGCCCTCTTTACGTTTCCACGTTTTTTGTGCTGGAAGTGCTCGTTGCATGGTAACGCTGCTTCCGCTAAAGCAACAGCAATAACAGCAATGACAGTTAGAGGGTGTTCCTGTTACTCAAGTGTTCAAGTTTGAAGCAAAAACAACATTATCTCAGTTTCAGTGGCTTCTCAGCTGATGATGAGCAGAAGAAAAAGTCTGTGCAGTTAATAAAGGAATAAACTTCAGGGTCATACGGAGCAAAAGAACCTCTGTATCAGCATTTCAGTGCTGCTGACTAACGTTACACTGAATGTTTGTGATTTAGGCCCAATCCCATTTCACCCCTCCCACCCCATCCCTACCACTCAGCCCTACCCTTCTGTTTTGCACGTTCACGTCTAGGGGTAGGGGGTCCCAATTCTTGTTGAGATAGAGGGGTGGGGCGAAGTGTTGAGGCTACATGACCCTCCAAACAGAGAGACTCACTGAGAAAAAAAGAAAAAAATTGTCTGTTAAAAAATTACGATAACCATTATATTATCTTATATAATGTCGTTTCAGTGTATTATGGTTGTTTCCTTCATAGCAAGCGTAAACAATCGCTAGTAGCGCTGATGTGTCTGTAGCTAGCTAGATTACCCGTTCCACCTTAAATAGTCCAGCAGTTCTGATGCCTGAGGCGCCGGAGTGTTACTGTTGCACCACTTAAGGTGGAACGGGAAAATTCTAACAAGAAGCTGGAGAATATCTGACTTCAGCTTCATATCACTGAAGAATTAAGGGTGGGTGATAGTAAATAATTGCCCCCCTCTTTGAAGGCTTATGATGCCCTAAATGTAACTAAAGCCCAGCAGTGAGGAGCTGAACTTTACCCTCCTCTGCTGTCACTGCAGACTGGCAGGGTCGCCTACAGAGCAGCGCTGGTAGCTGTTAATGAAGTGATGCTCTTTTTATTTGAGGGTCCCATTTCAGAGGGAAGATTTCAACCACTACCCTGTAACTCAGTTCCAAGGGACAAGGTGACACTCGAAAACAAGGGGTAGGGGTAAAAATGAGAAATGGGACTGGGCCTTAAAGTTGCTGCTGCAGCCGCTTTCAGAGGATCAGTTTTCATTTTCTCCCTAAAAGCTGTCAGTATCTGAGAGAGCGAGAGCTCGGCAGGGAGCAGATGTTCGTTAACTGGAGCCGTTGTTTGTGTAAAACATCTACAGTGGCGCTACGGACCCTAATGACCCGGTGCGCCCCCTACTGGTGTGTGTGAATGTTAAGCTTTTTGCCAACTAGTTTATTGTAAGGGAGCTGTTTCAACATCTCCAGCTAACATGGTTAATATAGTGTTTTGGTTATAGTTATTTTTGATATCAATTGATTTATCACTCTGTATACGTTAGCTGACGTTACTGGAGCAGCTGGTGTGCAGCACAAGCAAACAAGTGCACGTTGAAATATGTTCCTGGATTTTATGGCACTGTTGGACTCCTGCTGACGTCTCGTTCACTTTCACAGGCACCGACAACACTTAAGCGCTTATTTAATGACTTACGAGTGCACGTTCGAGGAGAGGCGGCCTTAAGCACACATGCTTTTACAGGATCCTGACATACACAGTGTATTTCAGTTCCTGCCATGCCATCTCTCTCTCTCTCTCTCTCTGTTTACTCTCTTCTCGCTCACAGCTGCATCTGTGTGTCTCTTCCTGTGTTGCAGATGTGGCGATAGGAGCTCCTAAAGAGGATGATTACGGAGGTGCTGTGTACATCTACCACGGTGACGCGAAGGGAATAGTCAGCAAGTACTCAATGGTAACCAACACAGCTCCACAGCAATGAGCAAGAAGTCATTAGAGCCTTAGAGCTGCACGATATATTGTTCGTTAGTCGTTATCGTGATATTGGGATTATTATTGGGATTATGTACTTGTTTTAAGTGATTATAGTAATTAAAATGATTTTACTGTATTGGCAGATAATGTTATGATTGAACTTATGATTGAAACAAGCTAAATTTTAGTAAAGAATTTGGTTCTATATAGAACCATGAACACTCAAAGAACCCTTTGCATGATTAAAGGGTTCTTTGCATGGTGAAAGCGTTCTTCAGATTGATGTCGAATGTGCTGTAGATGATTCTATATAGAACGTTTTTGAGAAGGGTTCTTCTACTGTGACAAGCTTGAGATTGTAACAATATCAGATTCTGTATAGCCAACACATTCTCCGTCAACCTGGAGAACCATTTCACCATGTAAAGAACCCTTTAATCATGCAAAGAGTCCTTTGAGTGTTCATGGTTCTATATGAAACCATTTTCTTTACTGAAGAACCCTTGAAGAGCCTTTTTTTTTTTTTAGACTCAGATGTCTTTACAGTGGTGGTGATAGGAACCAGGGGTCGCCATGACTACAACACAAATATAGACATTTTATTTACTATCCAGAACCACCAGTGAACCTACACGAGTCTTCTGAGTTTATATGGAATGTTGATGATGGAAAATGATTAGTTTTAGGTCAGTTTGACGCCACTGAATGTTGAAAGTCTTTAAATAAATGATTGACATCATTTTTTTTTTTTTTTGCAAAGAATCAAAGTACTTGACACAGACACAACTTTGATTATAATCATTTTCTGGAGGTTTAAATTGCTGAGGTCAAATTAAGGATAAAGATGTTTGTAAATTTGAAGATTACATTCCTTTAAAACGTGCTGAAGGTTTTGCTGGATTAGACACTGCGCTGTCTAGCTATCTTATATGCTATATAACCTACAGACTAGCCCAGGGGTCGCAACCCAAATGTTAAGAAGAGCCATTTTGTCATGTTTCAACAAAAATCAAACCACCTTGGGAGCCACAACATTTCATGTCCATTTTATTGAAGTAACGTTTCACTATCTTGGCTGTAAATATGTCTCAGTATGTGATGATGTCCTAGTACAGACTAAAAAATATAATATAAACAAAAACACAGACTCACTTTGCTCTGCTTTAAGCTTTAGCTCAGCTATAGCTGCTTTTCTCACATCTCCGACAGGAAACTTTTCCACAAATGTTCGACTTTTTATGTAGAAGTTGTTGCTCCTCATTCTCCAGCTTCTTGTTAGAATTTTCCTGTTACACCTTAAATGGCGCGAGACGCCAGAATGTAGTTAACCATGTAGTTAACTGCGGCACCATTTAAGGTGGAACCTGAAAATTTGAACATGAAGCTGGCGAATGAGAAACTGACTTCAGCCTCGTGACTTTTTAGTGTTTGAGTTTTTCACTGCAGATTAAACGTATCAGGAAACCAGCTGGAGTGATTATAAACACAAATAAGTCCATTCATCTCCAAATTATCGATGTTCGTCTTAAATCTCTCTCTTTTCCGTTCGTTAGCTACTAGCTAGGCGAGGCTGTTGTCTGTGTTGCTATGGTGACCAACAGTCTGCGCTGATCTTCAGGGTTAAAGGGTGAATCAGCAGTTCTACATTAACTCCAGAGTTTAAGACCATTTACTGTTAAACTGTGTTGAACGATCAGCAGAGCTTTATTTTACTGTAAAGGAGGATTATTTTATTTTTACCTACTAATCTGATTCAGCTGTGGAGCCACAACAGGGCAGTAAAAGGGCCACATGCAGCTCCAGAGCCACATGTTTCTGACCCCTGGACTTGGGTTTTGCATCCATCAGGATGAAAAGCTTCATTATTTGAAGCCGAGACTAAACTAGACTGAAATTCTCTACGAAACACTCGAGACTCGACTCTGACTCACGTGAATCGACTTGTGAACATCTCTGATTAGTCACCATGTTATTGTCCAGATGTGTAAATATGATTGTCTCTTCTTGCAGAGGTTGTCTGGGCGAAGCATCAATCCAGCCCTTCAAATGTTTGGCCAGTCAATATCCGGCGATGTGGACATGGATGGAAACGGATACCCAGGTTTGGCTAAACTTTATACACACAGCAGGTTCGGCTCCAAGGAACATTTAATAAGGTTCCAAATTAATTCAAAACCACCCAATAAGAACCAGAACAAATGCCAGACGGCTCACTCACTAAAGAAAGGAAATATCCAGCGTATGAACTGACCTTGAATCAGATTGTTTGACTGTGAGTCAGACGTTCTCAGATGATTTTAGATCACAGTCATCTTTAGATCTAGAACAACATAACAAGAAACATGTGTGTTACTTAAAGTGAAATAGACCGTTTCCTGTATATCCCCTTATAGCTCTGATTTGACACTACACAGTGCATCTGGATTTACACTGAACTTTTAGCAAGAAAAGGTTCCACGTAATATAAAAAAGGGTTCTTGGACTCATAGCGTATAGAACGGTTTCTCCATCATAGAGAAGAACCGTTTAACCCATACAAAGAACTGTTTAGATATTCAGATGGCTCCATATACACTCTTAAAAAAGATGATTCTTCAAGGATTCTTTAATAAAAACAATGGTTCTATAGAGAACCATAAATGCCCAAAGAACCCTTTGCAAGCTTGACATTGTAACTAAAGCAGAACCCATTTTGCTGCTATATAGAACCATTTGTAAAGATTCTTCAAAGAACCATATACAGCAGTTTATCTTAGAGAACAGCCATGTAGCCTGTGTAAAGAACCATTTAAGCATTCAGATGGTTCTTTTAGAGTTCATGGTTCTAGATAAACGAAATGGGTGGAGAACCATATACAACTGTTTCTCCATCATAGAGAAGAACGCTTTAATTGTGCAGAGAACCATTTGAACATTTAAATGATTATTTGAGTTGTCATGGTTCCATATGTAAACACTGCCTATACAAGGAATCTTGTAGAACCTCTTTTTAGGGGTGTACTGAAAAATGGTTTGACTCATGACAACATAGAACCATATACAGCGGTTTCTGGATCATAGAGAAGAACTGTTTCAGCGTTCGGAGGATTATTTGCATTTTCTTGGTGCCGTATGGTAGAACCCTTGAAAAATCCCTTTGTTAGGGGTGTGCCAAAAAGGGTTCTTTGACTCGTAATAACATAGAACCATTTTTAAAAGATTCCTTAGCAACACATGTGAAACAGTTTCTATATCATGGAGAACATCTCAGCATTCAGATGGTTCTTTCCGTTGTCGTGGTTCTATATATGAAACCGTTGCCTACAAATCTTGAATCCAGATTCCAGTCCTGGAGTTTATGATCACTAATAGTTAACGGAACATAATGGTCATTACAAAATCCAGGACCGGATACTGGATTTCTTCAAAGGTCCAGATTTAAAAACACCTGGCTTATACTAAAGAACCCTGGAAGAACCTCCTTTTAAGGGTGTATGGTTTGGGCATCTGTCCACCTTAAATCCGGATTCCAGTCCTGGAGTTTGTAATTACTGATAGTTAATTGAACATAATGGTCATTACAAAATCCAGGAGCGGATACTGGATTTCTTCAAAGGTCCGGATTTAAAGACATCTGGCCTGTCCTAAAGAACCCTTGAAGAACCTCCTTTCAAGGGTGTATGGTTTGGGCATCTGTCCACCTTAAATCTGGATTCCAGTCCTGGGGTCTATAATTACTGATAGTTAATTGACCCCACTGGTCATTATAAAATCCAGGACCAGAATGTGGATTCAAGGTGCGGTTTTGAGGATCCCTGGCCTAAACTAAAGAACGTTTGAAGCACCTCCTTTTAAGGGTTTAAGGTTTAGACATCTTTCCACCTTGAATCCAGATTCTAGTCCTAGATGTTTGTAATCACTGATAGCTAATAGAACCTACTGGTCATTACAAAATCCAGGACCGGAAACTGGATTCAAGGTCTGGATTTCAAGACCCCTGGCCTAAACTAAAGAACACTTGAAGAACCTCCCTTTCAGGGGTCAGACATCTGTCCACAGACCTGATTCTTCAGCTTTGAAGTCTTGTCAGAGCCACATGACTCAATGAAACAAAATCCTGGATTAATTTTGGGATGGAAAACGTTCTTTTCAAAGATAATCCAAGGAATGCAGATGAAGCGCTGGCTTAATTGCCAGAGCTGCTCTTTGGCGCATTCTGTCTTCGCAGCCTAACTCGTGATGCTGTGGCCTGGAGGCATTTTGTTTACAGCATTCCACAGTGGACGCTCGGACTTAAGCGGACTAGGGAAGTAATGGAGGATGGAGTCGACTCTGAGAGTGGAGGGAGGCCGAGCAGCTCTGTGCTCATAGCGCTGGTGTCAGTAAACAGTGCCGAATAGATAACGAATTGGCTTTAGGGTGCCGTTCTTCACACTGAGAAGTTTATCTAACCTTCCTGGATAATGTCTTTGTTTTCAACACAGATGTGACGATCGGTGCGTTCATGGCAGACAGCGTGGTGTTATTAAGGTGAGAAACGCTCTGCTAATCCAGCATGTGCTAACGCTCCAACCAAAGTAAATACGTTCCTCTTACAAATAGTCACGGATCTGTCCACCCCCTCATACCTGCGTCTTCTCGTTGCTTTGCTGCGTGAACAGGTCCAGACCGGTAATCACAGTGGACGTGTCCATCTTCCTGCCGACCTCCATAAACATCTCAGTGCCTCAGTGTCACGAGGGCCTGCAGCATCTCAACTGCTTTGAGGTCACTGTCTGTATGAGCTTCCACGGGAAACGTGTGCCTGGACAGATCGGTGAGGAAAGTTTTGAAGTTTTGGAGTCAAAAGTCAGATTATTTGCTGAGTTTAAAGCTGCACTATGTAAGATATTTTATTGAAACTGAAAGAAGCTTCATTACTGAGTGAGGAGAATATAAACAGGCAAAAATATGCTGAGTGTGCTGCTGTGAGTCGCCTGTAAAGCCTGAAATAATCATTTAAAAGTCAGAGGCGTCGAGTTTTTTACACCACGTCGTACGTCTTTACGTATTAACGTCACACACAGACTCAAAAAGAAGGTCCGACTCGGTGTTTCGGCATCAAATGATCTCAAAATCAGCATCATACTGATGAAGATGTGATGACTATAGTAGATAATTCACTCACATCCTCAGAGACGCTCCTTCTCAGATTGATCCGCTCGTGAGGGTCCGAAGCACAGCCCACGTTACAAAATGCTCTTTGTCATGTTGCAATTACATATTTTCACCAGAGAGGTCTCCAAATCCCCAAATCTTACATAATGTTGCTTTAAAATATGAAAAAAATAACAAACCATTATTTATAAAATGTGCCATAACTTTTGCACAGGCCACATTTTATGCTTTATTTGTTTCCAATGTTGTTAAAATCAATAAACAAACAAAAAGTGTGCAGAAGTGTGTTCTCTATAGAGGATGTGTTAATTTATTATCACTTAGAAAATCAACGAATACATGGAATTTGACTTTGATCGGGGGTGCTAAAACTTTAGCACGTGACTATATGTGGTGCGGATTAACCCCTTTACTCTGTTGAAACATCTGAAGGTCTTTCTATGAAGAAAGGCCTGTTATATGAAGCCGCGTGGAACCTGACAGGGTCCTATTTGGGGTTTGTGGTAGTGTGCAAAAGTTTGCACGCCCCGGTGATGTTATTGTTGATTTTCTAAGTGAAAATAAATGAACACATCCTCTACAGAGAACACGCTTCTGCACGTTTTAATGCTAAAAGACTGATTATTTTACTGAATTTAACACATTGAGGAAAAATAAAACATAAAATGAGGCCTGTGCAAAAGTTATGGCACATTTCACATGTAACAGATTTCAAATAAAGGAAATAAATAGAAATTTAAAGCTACCATGTTCAGAAATCTGCCATGTTTAAGTGTGTTGAGCGTGTGTGAACTCATTTTCATGCAGAAAATCAACAAAGCATTTAATTTGCATTGAAATGCCTGCAGCTAATAAAAATAATAATTCTTTAATAAAAACTCGACTCGGACTCGAACGAAGTGACTTGTGAATGTTTCTGGTCCGTGCTGAACCACTGTGAGATTGTTCGGGCAGTCAGAAGAGTAAATGTGGTCCCGACAGGTCTTACTGAGTGGGTGTGGACTGCGGAAAGTGGGTGTGGTCATTGATCACTCAGTAGGCATGGTCCTGTGGGATGCAGGATGTATAAAATTGGGTATTATGCAATTAGCTGGTCCTCAGTGAGGACAGAATAAGGGCTTTTCTGTTTCACCACTTGGCAACGCTGCTGGAAACTGCTGCCGCACCTCCTTTCTGGGTAAGGCCAGGCGAAACCCTCCCTTCCCCGTGTCAGAGTGAGGTCATACTCCATCACAGCTGGAGAGAGACACACACTCACTCAGTCCTGATGTCAGAATGTCCTGATTTTGTAGTATAGAAAACAGGGCTGAAAGAAAAGCAGGACTAACCTACAGTGTTGAGACCATTAGCAGCACTATGACCGCAGGGCATAGGCCCACCTACATTTAGCACTGACCCACCCTAAATAACAACTCAGATTTACTTTAAAATGAATTTGTCATGAAAAAACAAAGAGTAGATGTAAGCATCTACTGTACTACACACCCAGATAAGCATGTAGAATAATGCAAATGAAGAATAGCATCTGCAGGCGTCTAGGCTGGATAGAGCAACACTGTCGTTGGGAACAAGCAGAATTTACACATTAAGCTTCTAAGAAAAAAACAGTCAAGCTTTTAGCTCTCAAACTGTTGTTTTTGTTTCAGTGTGAGAAAAACACTGGATTAAAGCATATCACTGTTGTCAGAACAAAACCTTGTATCTCCAAAATGGTAACTTTACAGGAGAAGGAAAAAACATACTTTACTTTTAATGTAAGTCAATGGAACCAGACGTCTTTCCAAGTAATTTTGGGCCGTTTATTTTGGTCCATTCTTTATGTAATTTACACACAACGTAAAGAACAACAGGCATTTTCAAATTATGTCAAAAACTGTAAAAATTAGAAAAATGGAGGTTTTCTTTCGACAGCAGCGATTTATTGGCTGATTATAAGTGTATTAAACATTTTTAAGGTGCATTTAAAGATAATAATGTGCCAGAAACAACGCATTTTAGGAAGCAGTTTAAAAAATAAGAAAAGGCTTCTCTCAGTAAAACATTTTGAAATGCTGAGATTCTAACTGTTATGGCAGCTGTGTGAGCTTTTATATTCTGTTGTACTCAGAAGTTCAGTTCACACGTGAAAATTAAATATCCACTAGAATCTGGGAGCTGGAATTCTAAAACAACAAAAACAGAATTGTGTGAACGCTCGTTTCCCCTCACCGTATGTGGAGCCCCTCCCAGAGCTCTAAAATAGAAACACCCTGCGAGGCCAACAGCACTGTAATGATAATTATCATCATTTATATTTTATTAATAATTTTAACACTATAAAGTTTGGTCAGTAGGCTCACAAGTCACTAAATGCTGTTGTTTTATTGGCTCCCTACCTAAACATCTGCATGAATGAGGGTGTGCTTCATGTAAATGACATGTAAATGAGGTGCTGGTAGGCTGACGCTTGATTTAATGCGCTGCGCTCAAATCTGCTCGGCTCCTCGACGTACGTTTCATAAAAGATCATTTTGTGTGTCATTAAAAGCAGTCAAATTCGTTTTTCACTCAGCTTTGATGAGTAAGGGCTGTTATGTGTGTACATTTGAAGTGGATCTGAGCTCTGGACGTATAAAATAACAAAAACAGCAGTGAACACCCGTTTCCCCTCACTGTGTGTGGAGCCCCTCCCAGAGCTCTAATATAGAAACATCCTGCGAGGCCAACTGCACCGTAACAACTGTGAGTCACTCGTTGTTCTCGGCAGGGTCCAGCGCTGAAAGGGTGTGCCCCACTCCCCTGCCCCCCGTTCACAGTACTCATGTGTGACCTCATGCCTATCAGCCCTGTTTGCTTTTTAAACAGCTTTTTTCCGAAGCCATTTTCCCAAACTACCAGGAAATGAATGAAAAACACGGCCGCTGGCCGCAGTCCCGGGATTTTTAAAACGTGATGTTTTGAGTGATCTCCATGACGATCAGTGTGGGAACCTGACATCTCCTGTAGCGGATTAGTGAAACGATTTGAAGGAATGCATTAGGCTTAAGTGCTTGTCGTGCATTGGTCATCGTTTATGGATGCAGAGCAGGGCAGTGTGTGTTGAGGACACGCTGCTGATGTGGTCAACCCTCTGTCTCCTCAGAGCTGCTGTACAACTTAACAGCCGACGCAGACAAAAGACACAAGGGCCTGCCGTCCCGCGTCTACTTCACACACGGCGGAGAGCAGACCGGTGTGGTGAGTCAGATGTTCAGCCTCAGCGTCCACCGGCAGGAGTGCCATCAGTACACCGCCTACGTGAGGGTGAGTCTGTTTCAGAACCTTCAGAGGAGCTTCTGCATCCAATACAGTACCAAATGAGAAGCTTTCTGCTGCATAAACCACACGTTCTGTATCAGACACGCTGTTTTTGCCCCATCCCAAAGTCTGAGCCATGTGATATTTAATTTATTTATTTATTTTTCCTGGTCTCACTTTCTCTCATGACCTGTTGGTCAAGACTCCAGAGGTCGAGACTTATTGTGCCGAACTTCAGTTCACTCTGAACTCGTCTTACGCAACTCAGAAATGTCACCGGGCATATTTAGCCTGACTGGTCAGCTGTTTGTTTTTGAAGACTTTCTCTTAAAGGCTAGTTTTCTTTCAGTTTTGCCTTTGTTGAAGGACAGGACAGCACAAAACGTTTCCTGTCCTAATATCAGTGACCACATTTGTCAGCCGCAGTATTGTTAAAAACATACTCGTCACCTTTATTTATGTAGCACATTTAACCCCTTATATGTCCAGGTCCCTCCGGCAGGCCTGAAGTTTTATTACACACTTCTGTAACCTATATAACTCAGCCAGTTTGCATTGACGTCCCTGTAGTTACTAAATAACAAGCCTTAGTCTGTAATAAGCCTGAGATTTTAAGGGGTTTAAAGGCAGCAGGTGTTCTGCACAGCAGAAAGAAGTCGTTTCAAAATAGCAGCAAAATAAAATACAAATTAAAATGGAAAAAATACAAAAACAAATTACAAATGAGATTACGTAATGCTATAGACCGTACAAACTCTCAAACACCTGAGAGAATGAATATGTTTTTAAACTGGATTAAAGGGTGTCTGCTGTTATCTCAGGAACAGAAAAGCCACAGTCACATGTGAACCTCATTTTAGAGTAAAAAGCAACAGGTTTGACTGATAATACTTTATAATAAGAGACCCTAATAAACAGCCACTCAATAATTATGCAATAGTTAGTTAAAGACTATTAATACTAATATAAAAGTTACTTATATATTAATAAATAGTACTGTTTAGATACTAGAAACCGTATTAGAAACCTAATCATTTATTTAAGTTGGTGAAAAATGGTTATTCATGTGCTCACCGAGCACTTTATTAGGAACACCTGTACACCTACTCATTCATGCAATTATCTAATCAGCCAATCATGTGGCAGTAGTGCATAAAATCGTGAAGCTTCAGGTAATGTTCACATTCACCATCAGAACTGGGGAAAATGTGATCTCAGTGATTTTGACCGTGAGGTGATTGTTGGTGCCAGATGGGCTGGTTTGAGTGTTTCTATACCTGCTGATCTCCTGAGATTGTCACACTCAGTCTCTCTACAGTTACTCAGAATAGAGCAATTAAGAAAAAAGTCCAGTAAGCATCAGTTTTGTGGATGGAAACACGTTGTTGATGAAAGAGATCGGTGGAGAATGGCCAGACTGGTTTGAGCTGACAGAAAGGCTGCGGTGACTGATAACCACTCTGTATGACTGTGCTGAGCAGAAAAGTCTAACCTTGAGGTGGATGGGCTACAACAGCAGAAGACCCTTTCTGGTTCCACGTCTGTCAGCCAAGAACAGAAAGCTGAGGCTGCAGTGGGCACAGGGTCACCAAAACTGGACAGATGAACATGGAAAAACGTAACCTGGTCTGATGAATCTCGATTTCTGCTGAGGCTCACAGATGGTGGGGTCAGAATTTGGTGCAAATAGAATGAATCCATGGACCCAACCTGCCTTGTGTCAGCAGTCCAGGCTGGTGGAGGTGGTGTAATGGGGTGGGGAGTGTTTTCTTGGCACACTTTGGGCTCATTAATACTAATCGATCATCACTTTAATGCCACAGCACATTCAAAGTTTGTTGCTGACCACGTGCATCCCTTCACAGCCACAATTTACCATCTTCTAATGGCTACTTCCAGCATGACAAGAAAGAAAACTTATTTCAGATTTTCCACTATTTTCCATCATCAACATTTCATATAAAACTCATAAGACGTGTAGGTTCACTGGATAGTAAATAAAATGTATATATTGGTGTTGTAGTCATGGCGACCCCTGGTTCCTATCACCACCACTGTAAAGACATCTGAACCATTTCACATCAAACCTCTCTGAATCTCTCTGTTTACACCTCACACACTCAGTTATGGAGAAATGCGGAAACATCTGTGTAGTTCAACTTTATATAAGTCTTTATTATTCTATGTTTGTTTTGTGGATGAAACAAACACTGTGACTGAACTAATATACCTTTACCATGAGAGAACTGAGGTTTCACTGCTTCACTGAACGACTGCATCTGTCTTCAAAGCCTTTGAAGCTGAAGCTGTTTAGCTTGAAGTCGTTGTTTTACAAGCGATTGCCGTCATTGTGGCCACACAGGCAGCTTCTTCCTGTGACTGTGGTGTGAAGTGGCTGCTATCAGGGGGTTTTTCTACTGTTCAGAGCCTCAGTGTCCTCAGGGCTCTGCTCTAATAAGGAGTCACACAAAGCCTGTAAACCGTCCTGCCTCTGCTTTGCAGGGCACTGAGGTCGTCTGAAGGCAATGCATGAAGAAAATAAGTTAATAATTATAATAAATCAGCAGCAAAACAAGCACTGATGCTAAATAACACAGATTTCTAAGTGAATATCTTAGTTATGCTAATTTTAATGTTAATTTTAGAATCTTGTGCAGCCCAGTTGATAAATGAACATGCCTTTAATCCAGTGTTTAGGCTGATACGTGTCCCAAGTTTACTCACAGATTAGCCTGTTAAGCTTTTAGCAGATCCAGGCTTCTGTTTGTGTATTTAAGGTGTTTAATCACAGCAGCACCAGTGTTTGAGTGGATACATCTTTCTTCAGAGACTGAATAACACTTTGAAGGCTTAGAAATCGAGAGTTCATTTTTCTACACTTTTGAAAAAGATGGTTCTTCAAGGCTTCGTTAGTAAAGACAATGGTTCTGTATAGAAACATGAACACTCAAATATCCAGTTTCATGCTTAAATGTTTCTTTGCATGGTGAGTGTTCTTCAGATTGGTGGAGAATGTGTTGTATGTGGTTCTACATAGCACCAAAAAGGGTTCTGCTAGTGTTACGATGTCAAGCTTGTGTACAGTAGAAGAACCCTTTTCAAAGGTTTCTATATAGAACCAAGCCTGATGAGTAATAACACTTGAGAGATATGTACACTGTAATTTAACCTGGATGAATACATACACTGATCAGACACAACATTCTGACCACCTCCTTGTTTCTACGCTCATTGTCCATTTTATCAGCTCCACTTACTATATAGGGTCACTTTGTAGTTCTACAGTTACAGACTGTAGTCCATCTGTTTCTCTGATACTTTGTTAGCCCCCTTTTACCCTGTTCTTCAGTGGTCAGGACCCCCATGGACCCTCACAGAGCAGGTACTATTTGGGTGGTGGATCATTCTCAGCACTGCAGTAACACTGTCGTGGTGGTGTGTTAGTGTGTGTTGTGCTGGTACGAGTGGATCAGACACAGCAGTGCTGCTGGAGTTTTTAAACACCTCAGTGTCGCTGCTGGACTGAGAATAGTCCACCAACCAAAAATATCCAGCCAACAGCGCCCTGTGGGCAGCGTCCTGTGACCACTGATGAAGGACTAGAGGATGACCAACACAAACTGTGCAGCAGCAGATGAGCTATTGTCTCTGACTTTACATCCACAAGGTGGACCGACAAGGTAGGAGTGTCTAATAGAGTGGACAGTGAGTGGACACAGTGTTTAAAAACTCCAGCAGCACTGCTGTGTCTGATCCACTCAGACCAGCGCAACACACTAACACACCACCACCATGTCAGTGTTACTGCAGTGCTGAGAATGATCCACCACCCAAATAGTTCCATTTCCATGAGTGGCTATGAAATAACTTTTTGTGAACAAGCAAAGTTTCAGTTTAAGATTTATTTGAACTTATTTACAAGTTTAAGTTTAATAAAAACTTTAAACTCAGATTCACAAATGAGTTTCCTTTACTAAACTGCATCTGTAGGTCTCTGTTCATAAACATAAACTAGCCTAAACTAATTTACTATAAAATGAAATGTGTTTGTATAAATTCAGAATAAAGACCCGTCAGTCACAACTGCATATGAGTACATATTTCTATATTGTGGTCTGTTTACACAAAGTTAGGTTAGTTCATCATTTATGTTGAATAGACTCTCCCTAAATTTTACGCTGCTGCACTGATGTTGAACCGTGTGCTGCACTGGGTCGGTATGACCAACAGGTCAAAACAAGCTCTAAACAAAGTGACCGCTGTGCCCTGATTGGTGTTGTTGCTTCGCGCTTTTTTCGTTTGGACATGTTACGTTTTTATACACACATAAACCAAAAGGAACGACAGATTTCTCATAATGTAGTGGAGTAAAAAGTGAGATATTGAAAGTAAAAAGTCGCCCAGAATAGAAATACTTCAGTAAAGTACACATATACAAAAAAACTACTTAAGTACAGCAATGAATTACATTTACTTCGTTACTGTCCACCACCACAAGTGAGTTACTGTAGGCTTCAAATTATGCAATACAAGTAATATTTATCATATTTCCAGCTACTGAAGTTGCGTGGAGGTCTCACTATGTAAAACCAGCCTAAAGCCCTTGCGTTTCAAGTCCGCTGTAAAGGTTTCTTAATAGACAGAAACATTGCAGACCAAATCTCCCATGACAAGTGGATCCTGCCAGAGAAACAGCTCTCATACTTCAGCAGACGTGTGTTTATCTTTTCTGGTACTTTACGGATCACCCACGGAGACGGCAGCGCTGTACCACAGAGCAGATGGCAAATGTAATCTCTAGTTAAGAGGACATTAACATTTCACATTTAACTCCCCTGAGAAACGCTCTCACAGTCCCTCAGAAGCAGCAGTCATAGCCAGCGATAACCAAAGCATGCAGTGTTTGAACAATATGCAGCACAGATACCACTGTTCATTTATTTCATGTCCAAAAAGTACAACTTATTCATTTCTTAATCTTAATTCATCATTTATTAAACTTCTAG